TTCTCTCTCTTTTGTGCCAGAGGTCCATTGCACTGGGTGTCCCCTCTCCCCTCATCCCCACCCCTACCCCTTCTAATTCCTCCTTTACTTGATGCCAGAATTATCTTCCTCCTTCCTTGATTTGATCAGTTGTTCTTCTATTAAAAACCTCCAGGTTTTCTTAGTTCAGATGTTTATCGCAGGCATTCTAGACCCTTGAATCCATCCCTATCCTACTTTGCCAGTCTTGTCTCACGTGAATCTCTTCTATGCTCCAGCCAAACTGGACAACTCACTCTCCCCTGAAACATGGCCTGTATTTTCCCATCTCCACTCCTTTACTCATGACATTCTCTATGCCTAGAATGTCCTTCCTTCTCTTTGCTTGTTGAATCCCTCTCTTGTACGGGTAGAGGAGCCATCCTTTGAAACTGAAGTCAAAAGCTGCATTAAAAGGTAATTAATAGAAACATGTTTGGCATGTGCATGTTGGCATTAGGTTAACAGAAGACTATGAGAGGTGTGTGTGGGAAAAGCACTGGATATGGAGTCAGAAAAACTGAGTTTAATCTCATCTTTGCTACTTTACTGTTACTGTTGCTACTATTACATCACCATCATCACCACCATCACTATTACCTTCTCTTCCTCTTCCTCCTCCTTCTTCTACTACTGCAACTACTGCCACTATTATTACTACTATTATCACCAACACCACTACAACCATCCATTGCTTTCTCTTCCTCCTCCTTCTTCTTTTACTATTGCTACTACTTCTATTACTAATAGTACTACTGCTCCTACTACCACCACCACCACCACCACTATCACCATCCACTACCTTTTCTTCCTCCTTTTCCTCCTTTTCCTTCTCCTACTGTGACTACTACCACTACTAGTATTACTACTACTACTACCACCACTACTACCACCACCCACAACCTCTTTTTCCTCCTCCTCATTCTACTACTGCTACTACTACCACCACCATTATTACTATTACTACTACCACCTCCACCAACACCATCACTGCTACTCCTCTTCCTCCTAATCCCCCTCCTCCTACTACTCATTTGATCTTTACAACAACTCTGGGAGGGGTAATCCTATCATTATCCTTATTTTACAGATGAGAAAACTGAGGTAAACAGAGATTAAGTGAATTACCTAGGATAACACAATTAGTAAGTGTGTGAGGCAAGATTTGAACTCAGGTCTTCCTGACTCCAAGTCCTACACTCTGTCCACTGCCCATATAGCTACTACCTATGTAACCTTAGTCAAATCATTTTCCCTCCTTAGTCCTCAGTTTCCTCACATGTAAAATGAATGATCACATAATTAGAGTTGGAGGGAACTTACAAGTTATCAAGCCCAACACTCTCATGTTACAGATGAGAAGCCTGTGGTCCAGAGAGGACCAATGATTCATTTTCACCCACAAGGAAAGTTAGTTCAATATCAGAGATGAGATTTTAACCCAAGTCCTGAGACTCCAGAGCCAGGGTTCTTTTCACTGCATTGCAACACACTGTCTCCATAGGATATGAGACTAGATGGACTGTGTACGGTCTTTCCCTAGCTCTATATTTATGGTGGCATAATCTATGCTTTGTATCTTGTCCACCTCCAAATTAGATTGTAAGCTCCTTGAGGGCAAGGATTCATTTTCTTTTTGTATCCACAGTGCCTAGCACAGTGATTGGCACAGAGGAGGCAATTAATAAAATGTTTATTGAACTGAATCAAGTATGCAAAGGAAAGGAAGGGATTAAAATAGATTTGGGTATGATAGTACTCAATTGCTCATTTAGCATTTCTTTTTCTTTTTCTTTTTCTTGTTTTTTTTGGCGGGGGGTGGTTGGGCAATTGGGGTTAAGTGACTTGTCCAGGGTCACACAGCTAGTAAGCGTTATGTGTCTGAGGCTGGATTTGAACTCAGGTCCTTCTGAATCCAGGGCTGGTACTCTATCCATCGCGCCACCTAACTGCCCCCATTTTGCATTTTTTAATAATGGATTTTTGTAATAATGGATTTTGTAACATCCTGTCATAGTGGATAGAACACTAGAGCTGGAATATAGGGACATCTGTATTCAAATCTCATCTTTTTTGCCTGCTGATCATTTGACTTCCCTGAGCCTCTGGCAGTTTCTCCAACACTAAGTTCTAGATAGGATTGATGGTGTAGTTTCCCTCAGCAATGATATCACTGTATTTGGAATGCACTACACAAGTATTTGGCCAAAAGGGCTTGGCTTTCTAAAACGTGTGTGATTCTGGCTGATACACCTGTAGTATTCCCCCTTCTAGTAGGGAACTTAGAGACACATGAAACCCAAGGTGCTCATGACAGCGGGGATCCTGGAGACAGCTCACAGGCAAGGTCAGTCAGCCCAGCTGGAAGCGGGGAGGAGGTTGGGGAAGGGTCTCTGGCCTGCTCTCCCCCTCCCCTACTCAGCAATTGGGTTATTAGAGTCAGTGATTTATCAAGCACTTATTCAACACCTACTGTGAGGAAGGCAGAAGTAAGTCTGATATAGAAGCTTCTTCTCTAGGCAGGCTTGTACTATCAACACCTATGTTCAACTCCAAGATTTTATGTCTCTGAGCCTTTCAGAGGAGTGATGACAATTTGGAGGAGCTGGGTCTGTTGGTAGGAGAGGGCAGAACCATGCTTCTTTCCCCTGCTTTCCTTTCCTCCCTCTCTTCCCCATCCTATTTGATCCATATCGAGCAAATTTCTTTCACACCAACAACACAGTACTGATGAAAATAAAAAATAAAACAAAACCCCAAACTCAACATTTTATTGATAGGTTTTTTCATATCACTTCCTAATAACTACCCTTCT